TCGACGACCTAACCTACCTAACCTAACCTAACCTAACTTTTTAGGCTACCTAACCGAACCTAACCTATAGAGATAGGTTAGGTTAGGTTAGGTAGGGTTGGTTAGGTTCGGTCATATATCTGCGTTAATTTTAATTCCAATAACAAAAAATTGACCTCATACATAATGAAATGGGTAGCTTTATCATTTCATAAGAAAAAATTAGAGAAAATATAATAATTCAGGAAAACTTGGCTTATTAGGCAAATCGGGCCTTGCATAGTAGGCTCAGAAGTGCGTTCTGGCTACTAGGTACGACATATATATATTATATATATATATATATATATATATATATATATATATATATATATATATATATATATATATATATATATATATATCCACTTCTAAATCAATATGATGAGCTCCTCAGGTCAATATTCAGGAAGGCGCTCAACCTAGATTTAGATGAGTCAGTGGGACCAAGCAACACTAACACTACCAGTGAGATTTGGGGGGATAGACATACGAAAGGCAACTGAGGTAGCACTTCCAGCATTCTTATCCTCATGTACAGCAGCTAGCAAATTGGTAGGGCAGATCCTTTCAGAGCATACGAGACACAGCAGGAACTAATGATCAAACGTTCATCGAAGCAGCCAGACAATGGGAAACCATTGCACACCCTTTACCCCGACCACAAGCCCCAAAAGACCACAAGCAGGCCCACTGGGATAGTTCAATAATGGAAAAGACTGTCACAGTAATGATTGACAACGCAAATGCTGAAAACAAAGCCCGCCTCCAAGTGGTAACAGCACCCCATGCCGGGGATTTTTTATTTGCTGTGCCCTATGCAGCCCTGGGAACTCGCCTCAATCATGACGCTCTCCGCATTGTAGTTGCCCTTCGCCTTTTCGCCCCCATCCTCACCGAACATAGGTGCATCTGCAGAACTGCGATGGCAGACCAATATGGTCGTCATGGTCTGGTATGTCGTAAATCACAGGGGTAAGATTGCAAGACATGAAGAAGTCACTGACATCATCAAGAGAAGCCTCGCCACAACTCGCTGCCCGGCACAAAGAGAACCACACTTATTCATACCTAACAACCCTCAGAAACGCCCAGATGGGGTCACCTTGCTTCCTTGGAAGGGTGGTAAGCAAGTGGTGTGGGACTACATGTGCGCTGCCACACTTGCCAGTACCTACCTCCACTACAGCACACGTGAAGGGGGGTGGCACTGCTTCTTTCAGGGAATCGCAGAAAATTATTAAATACAGAGGTCAGGCACACTGCTACAGCTTAATTAGTTCCGATCAGCTCAGAGACCCTCGGTTCATAGGGAAAATGTGCTTTGAAGTTCCTGAAGGAATTGGGGGATGAATTGATCGGTGCTACGATTGGAGAGCTAAAAGTTTCTTGTTCCAGTGCCTCAGTGTTGCGATTCAGAGGGGGAATCCCTGTTGCGTCTTGGGCACTTAATTGTCCAACTTCAGAGGAATTTGAAGAAGTTTTTGACTTGCAACACTGATTGAACCTGTCTGTGACATTTATCAATGTTTCCCATTGTCATGTTTTTCCTAGAGATCCATACCCTTTAAGCACTTTTTGTATCAACCCATGTATATCTAGTAACCATTAAATACAATATATATATATATATATATATATATATATATATATATATATATATATATATATATGTCGTACCTAGTAGCCACAATGCACTTCTCGGCCTAATATGCATGGCCCGATTTGCCTAATAAGCCAAGTTTTCATGAATTAATTGTTTTTCGACTACCTAACCTACCTAACCTAACCTAACCTAACTTTTTAGGCTACCTAACCTAACTTAACCTATAACGATAGGTTAGGTTAGGTTAGGTAGGGTTGGTTAGGTTCGGTCATATATCTACGTTAATTTTAACTCCAATAAAAAAATATTGACCTCATACATAATGAAATGGGTACCTTTGTCATTTCATAAGATAAAAATTAGAGAAAATATATTAATTCAGGAAAACTTGGCTTATTAAGCAAATCGGGCCTTGCATAGTAGGCTGAGAAGTGCGTTCTGACTATTAGGTACGACATATAAATATATTTAATATATATATATATATATATATATATATATATATATATATATATATATATATATATATATATATATATATATATATATATACAATATATATATATATTGTTAAATATGACCGAAAAAGTAAGATTAATAATTCTAACACGAATTTCCTCAATATTTCTTATGTTTCTTTTTACTGTTGATGGTAATTGAAAAATCAATTCTCCAAAATTCATTTTAATTTTTCGTCTGATGCGACACTTGAACGCGTTTTGTAATAACTTGTTACATTTTCAAAGACTTTAGTTTACACACACACACACAACTATAACCTGCAAACACTAAAAAGAGTTTTACTATGCTAATATTTAAAAAGCTTTTGTCTTATATACTCGCATTTGGGTGAGATGATATGTTTCAACAGTTTTGGATGAGGTGAACAAACTTTCAACACAATACAGAACACGGTTCAATGGGTATAGATGAAAGGGAAGAATGGAAGTAACTGCAAAGGGCCTATTGGCCCATGTTTCCTCTTGATGCTTCTATATTGGTATGGAGTCTTGAAGTGGGTAGAATATAGTTGTGCATTAATTGACTGTTCATTGCTGGTGTTGACTTCTTGATGTGTGGTGCCTCGCAGATGTCAAGCCGCCTGCTATCGCTGTATCTATCGATGATTTCTGTGTTGTTTGTTAATACTTCTCTGGTGATGGTCTGGTTGTGGGAAGAGATTATATGTTCCTTAATGGAGCCCTGTTGCTTATGCATTGTTAATCGCCTGGAAAGAGATGTTGTTGTCTTGCCTATATACTGAGTTCTTTGGGGCTTATAGTCCCCAAGTGGGCATTTAAAGGCATAGACGACATTGGTCTCTTTTAAAGCGTTCTGCTTTGTGTCTGGAGAGTTTTTCATGAGAAGGTTGGCCGTTTTTTTTTTTTTGTTTTATAGTAAATCGTCAATTGTATCTTCTGATTTTTATCTGTAAGGATAACGTTCCTATTAGCAATATCTTTCAGGACCCTTTCTTCTGTTTTATGAGCTGTGGAAAAGAAGTTCCTGTAAAATAGCCTAATAGGGGGTACAGGTTTTGTGTTCGTTGTCTCTTCAGAGGTTGCATGGCATTTCACTTTCCTTTTTATGATGTCTTCAACGAAACCATTGGAGAAGCTGTTGTTGACTAGGACCTGCCTTACCCTACAGAGTTCTTCATTGACTTGCTTCCATCCCGAGCTGTGGCTGAGAGCACGGTCGACATAAGCATTAACAACAATCCTCTTGTACCTGTCTGGGCAGTCACTGTTGGCATTGAGGCACATTCCTATGTTTGTTTCCTTAGTGTAGACTGCAGTGTGGAAACCTCCGCTCCTTTCCATGACTGTTACATCTAGAAAGGGTAGCTTCCCATCCTTCTCCATCTCATAAGTGAAACGCAACACAGAATTCCGCTCGAATGCCTCCTTCAGCTCCTGCAGACGTCTGACATCAGGTACCTGTGTAAAAATGTCGTCAACATTATGACATATATGGCAGGTTTCAAATTCATGTCAAGTTCATGTCCTTACTGCAGGTATGACCTCGAGCCGCCCGCCGCCACCCTCACTGTACCACGTGACGTCACCACCCTTAATCACCGCCAGTGCCAGTGTGTGTGTGTTTGTTGATATACAGCGCGCCCTCCTGCGAGTACCCCCGTGTCAAGTACGGTTTGTGGGAAAGCCTGTCGCCAATGGTCTCACGTCAGAACGAGCACCCAGCTGTCAGGCCTCCTACGAGTTCTTGCATAAATGTGCCAGAGTGAGTGAGTGAATAAGAGAGGTACCCCACCTGTAAGTACGAGATCTTGTCATTGTTTTATTGCGTCTGTGTTGATCTGAGGGATCAACCACAGTTCTCACCTATTCTTACCTGACAGGTATAGGTGAAGACACCCGACGGTGTATGCGTGTTTATCTGTGTGGTACCACGACATTTCACTCGTCTGTGAATGTGAACTTCACATACACCACACATTTAGTATTGTGTGATATTATTATTGTGCATGTTACTGCCTGTCCCATTGTGTTTATTGCATATCATTACCCGAGTATCCGGTTGGAACTCTTGTGATCCCTTTGCATACCGGCAGTTAGGTTGCCGTATTAATGATTGCCTGTCAATTGTGTTAAGTTAGGTGTTACTCCATGAGTGGATCCGAATTGTTTAGCCAGACGTCAAGAGTCTCGCTAATGCAACCATAGTCTTTCTGACACGAATCTAAAGTAAAGCAAGCACCCTTTGTATTAGTGATTTAGTAAATAAACTACTGTTAAGCTTTATGCAGTGTTTCCGTTGAACCACATCTGAATACTGCCAATTATTTACTCAAGCCTTCAGCTCCAGGAGTCTCCAACACCGAATTGCCTAATTCACTAATCTATAAATGTGACGAGGACCCTAGGAGTCCCTTAAAGTGTTTCAATCATTGAAGAGATTCCAACGATCAACGTGGACCAGGACTAGGCAAGGCTAGTCTGAGAAAAGACCCTCAAGAACTAACTCGACCTTGCTCCCAGGCCCTGTACGGTTGCTCTCGTATTTTCTCTGCTGATTCCGACAGCTTTGTGAAGCGTCTGCCACATGTACATTGCCAACATATGCATTGCAGTCGGGAAAGCAAAAAAGAAAACCCCCACAACAGCCGTTACATCATCAGTCATCTTCATTTCGCTACAGCTACATTAAGTGCTTGTTTTTATTATTTCATGTATTTGCGATTCAGGGAAAGAATTTTAACAAACAAATTTTTAGGATTAATTTTTTTTGTATGTGCACTGGAAGCTTCGTCATATTTTATAGCTGCACAGTACAGAAGTTAAAATAATTTATTCAGAAGTGAATATCTCCAAGATCATAATGCAAGAATGCACAAGGTTAGTCAAAGATATTATTAACAAAGTTTTTTATTGTCATTAAACATTATTTACACCATGTAATTTACAACATTAAAAATGCAAGAATATTCACCAGACTATTGTATAACCGAATTAAATCTGAAAATTTTTGTTGCACTAAGTTCTTAATGAAAACCAATTATTTAGGAAATTTATACAAGAAAGCAAAGGTGCAATCAAAACTGCTCATTCAGTGGTGAGTATCTTCATGACCATGGCCCAAATTAAATGCTCGCTCAATAGCAACAGTTGCAACGGCAGCAATCAATCCCCATTTGAATCCTCTGAAGAGTGCTTTCTGGAAACGCTGACCATGTGTACCAAACTTGGGATCATACCGCCACACCTCATTCCTATGGATTAAGAATTCTAAGTAGTTATGTACATTTATAATAGAAACATACTACAAAAATTTATGTAAGCATAATATTTGTAATTTCACAAACTTTTATATTAGTTTATGAGTTATCCATTATTGTACATAATAGAAGTTTACATCCATATCTAAAATTTTAACAAATTTAACAATATTTCAGCACTACAATATTTAAATGTAGTATAACCTCAATTCAAAGCACTATATGGGATCCACTCCAATTCCTTGCAATCAAACATGCCTCCAGGAGGCATTTCCCCATGCCTTGTGGGGTAATTCACTTAGCAAAACTTATTTCAATCTAAAATATAATAGACAACCACCAGATGAACTAGTCTGCACCATATTTAACCACATCTTATTTCTCACATCCCAAGCCTCAAAATTCCTTATTAAAAAATAGCAGGGCCATACCTAAATGAACAAAAACTTTGCCAACTCAAAATGAAACATCATAGAATTTAGTTTTAAATATCCTCAATAGCTTTCTCAAGGCTCCAACTATTTCTTGTAATACACAGTAATCACACTAACTATACTGCATCAATGAGAAACTCTGTAGGAGCCATGATGAGGATTCGATCATCATCAGACTCCAACATTAAGGTATATCGTGGTCTAGTCACTAGCATGTGCACCTGGGAACACCCACTGCATAGGTTTGAACCCTCATCATGGCTCCTACAGATTTTCTTATTTTATGTAATACTAGCTGTACCCACCATGCTTTGCTGTAGCTCAGTCTGGTTAAATGGAAAAGAAAGAAAAGAGAAAGAGCACATTTCTAATATGTATAATTTCACAATGCTTGTGGGTATACAACATTTTTTGTTGTTCCATTGTCTGTGGAGATATAGAGATTGTCTGTTTCCCGACTCTAGAACACACAAAATATATTTGTCCCTATGAGAAGCAATCTGTGTCTAGATACAAAGAGCACAATTCTAAAGATTGGCCCCGAGCTTTATTTATGATGATTGCAAACGCCTATCGAACTGGAAATTACAATATCTTAAATTCAAATGGCATATCTGTTGGAATCATAGGAATGCGAGGAATGAGAAGATCTTCACCTTTGAAAGGTCCTGTCAAGATTGTAGCTTCTGCGACGTTGCTGATTAATTTTTTTACTGTACGGCGCGGGGCGTTGCAAAGCTTTAGCTAATTGATATTTCGCAACATGATAATTGGCTCTCAGATTTTCAATTGCCGTACGTGTGATAGTATCCCTGGAAGATCGAGTGAATTCAAAAATTCTGTTGGATAACTAACCGCTTCATCTGCTTCCTCAACAGTGTCAACGGACTTGTATCGAGGAATTACAGGTAATTTTGGGCTGAAATCTCCTGTAAGCAATATTAATGCATTCCCAAATGGTCTGACATTTCCACGCAAATCTTGCAATAATCGACCAAGAGCCTCGAGTGATTTTTTGTGGTCCATTGTGCATTCATCCCAAACAATAAGTATACATTTCTGCAATACTTTTCCCATGCCGGATGCTTTGGAAATGTTGCACGTGGGAGTTTCAATAAATTGCATGTTCAATGGCAATTTCAAAGCCGAAGTAGCAGTTCTTCCACCTGGTAACAATGTCACAGCTATTCCGGACGATGCAAGAGCTAAGGTTATGCCATTTTGGAATCGAAATGCTGCCAGAATCAATATAATTAGAAAGGATTTCCAGTTCCTCCTGGCACATCTAAGAAGATTTCTCCAAACCCGTTATTGACCGTTTGAATTATTTGACTGTAAACGCCTTTTCGCTCAAGCGTTAGCTTAAGAATATTTGATTGCACATACGACAACAGATCACTCATGTTGTAATTTTGTTTACGACGCAAATCAACATCGAACAAAGCAGCAGCAGATTGATTCGATGATGGCATTTCCAATTGATTTAGAATTTTGTTCACGATTTCTAAGCACAAATCTACAATCATTATCAATGCTTCGTTGTTGATTTCTGCTGTGAAATCAATGTTCATATTTGAATTTTCCTTCGTATTTGACGGATAATATCTTCAGCCACGTGCGATTTATATTTCTCCCATAACTCTGTTGGAGATGAAGACAAGTTGGTCAAAATGATTGCAAACAATGCACGAATTTGATTTAGATGTGACGTGTTGGACGCATATTAATGCATACGTCCCAGCGTCGATCGTTCTCCAATAAATTCCGAGCTTGACATGCACTACGGAAAGTGGCATGTGTTACGCCGTTGACAAATCTAAATGGCTGGAAAGACGTTGGACTGGGCACATTTCCCTACAGCATGTGAAGAAAGAAGCATTCATCTTGATTGGGATGCACAGTGTAGTCTGCCTATTGTAGTTTATTTGAATATGCCAGGTTGTTCGTCGATTCGGTCTCCTCGTTTGCGTCATTCAAATGATTTTCTACTGGCATTCCATGTGTAATACGTATGCACTTCTGAATACAGCAGTGTTTTCGTAAACGCATTATTTTGACATAACGTGAAGAAAGCAGTTAATGTTGTAGCCGGTGGATTCATAGCCGTTTCTTGTACATTTGCAGCTGTGAAATAAACATGTTGTTCATTTACTTATTTTCAAAACAAAAACAAAAAATACTAACAAAATATTTCAATTCAAACACAGATCAATTTCACCACCAATTGCACTGAAAAATAAGAAGAACAGTTAGGAAAACGAAATGAAAAACAATGAAAAAGAAACAAGTAAGCTATACCCACAAAATAAACGGTATGGTAAATTACACAGCTCAATTCCAATGCAAAGTCACACGAAATAATTTAATCAAAATGAAAATAAATCAAAATCTATGAAAATTCAATTTATCAATTCAATCGGAAACACTGATATGGAATCTTAACATTTTGTATGTCATGTGTTGCTCTTCCGTGCAACAGATGGCGCTGTTTTTCAAAAAAACGCGTGTTTTTACCTGTCACAGGTGTAGCATCTAAATAGTAGGTATATAAAAACATACGCGTATTTAAATGGAACGTTGTATCAAAATTTCAAAGTAATCGGTGAAGAACTTTCAGAGAAAACAGCGTGTGTTGCTCTTATGTCCTACAGATGGCACTGCTTTCCAAAAAACCTGCGTTGATTGTAATGAAACACCGTACAGGCATACCTCAGAATAAGAGTTTAATCCGTTCCTGGAGACGCCTCGCCTTCCGAAAACTCGCATTCCGAAGTTAATTTCCCCATAAGAAATAAAGGGAAATGAATTAATCCGTTCCTGACTACCCCAAAAACCCCACATCAAACTAAATTTTTATACCTAATTCATCTAAATAAACCTACAAAACTGTGTTCCAGTTATTACTTACCTTGCTGTCGAGTGCTGTAGGCGTATGGAAGATGGTGAGGAGGGGGGAGGAGGAGAGGAGTTACTGTTTGGAAGGGGAGTCCCCTTCCATAATCACATCACATAACCCCATGCCTTGTAACACTATGGATACCACTTCTCTTTCTAAATTTTTCAAACCAGCCCCTGCTTGCCTTAAACTCTTTCTTATCTGCATCACTCGTTGCAGGGGTATTCTTTAGAAGGTCTTCGTGCAACACCCTGGCTTTCTCACAAATAATGGCCTCCGAAACACTATCACCCCTCAACTCCTTGTCGTGTATCCAAATTAATAACAACTTTTCCACTTCTTCAAGTATTTGTGGTCTTTGTGCCGTTAATGTTCTTACTCCTTTTGCCACTTTAGCACCCATAATCTTATTTTTCTTCTTAAGTATAGTGCATATTGTTGATGTGGCTTTGTTGTACTGCCTACAAAGTTCAACAACACGTGTACCGTTCTCATGCTTCCGAATGATCTCTTGTTTCTCCTCTATTGTCATCCTCACATGAGCTTTCTGGCCTTTATCCTTACCACTGGCTTTCTTGGGACCCATGGTGAGATATATAATAACAAATTGTATAGACAAATCACCAAAAATCCAACAAAACACTGAAAATCCGCGAGAAGAATTGATGTGGGGGTAGTCACTGAGCGCGAGACAATAATAAACTGAGGGGCGGAGGGGCGACGAACGCGCTAGGTCGGCTGTACGCGTATCAACAAACTCGCGTCCAAACTCGCCTCCCGAAGTAACCCTCGCCTTCTGAGACAAATTTTTGGAGTAAATACACCTCGCCTTCCGAAAACCTCGCATACAGGGACAATCGCATTCCGAGGTACCACTGTACTGGATTAAAAATAGAGAAAATAAATTTAGTGATTATTCTAATATACAAACCGCCAGCTGTCACAGAACAGCTCCCCCTGATATTATCTTCCTCTTCAACTTGCAGGACAGGTGGAAAATAGAAACAATAAGCCCCAGAGGAAATGTATCGGGACAGCTATCCACCCATCAGTTCTGAGGCTTCTGTGTCAAACTCAATCAGCAGCGGAGCTAAACCGCCGAGATCTGGAGAGAGGGTTGCCAGGGAGTCATTACGATATCAGATCCACATACTCAGATCACACTCATTGAGTGCAAACGACCATCAATACTCAGAATAGACCTAAAACGTTGATAAAGCGAGAGGGGCTATTCAGTAAATTCAATTTTAATAATAAAAGGATAGACTGGGAGATAATAAACGGGGAACTTACAAACATTCCATGGGGAACTGTTCTAAATAATACAAGTCCTACAGAAGGAATAGAAAAACTTACTTCAGAAGCGTATCAAGTCTGTCTGAAACATGTTCCTTTGAGGAAAGCCAGAAAGAGATCTAACGTAGAAAGAGAACGCAGACGACACTATAAACGCAGGAAAAAAATAACGGAACTGCTTATGCAGACACGAATTTCCCGTCAAAGAAGGAATAATTTAAATAGGGAGATTGAAGAAATCGAGCGGAAATTGAAACACTCATATGAAACTGAAGAAAAGCAGTTAGAACAGAAAGCAATTCAGGAAATAAAGAAAAATCCAAAATATTTCTTCTCATATGCGAAATCAAAAGCAAAAACCACTGCCA